GTTTGAGTGATACAGACCACAGAGAGCTAGCTACTTGCAGTCTTGCACATTGACTGATTAACTTTTGTGCATATAGATTTTTCTTTTTATTATTTGGATCCCCCCGTTTGATATTGTGATCGAATTGGAATCTTCTCATATGCAATCTACTTGGGAATTAGGTGGCGCATGTAGAGTCAGATGCTGTCAAATGCGTTTTTAAGTAGTTCAGTTTAATTGTTCTACAGGAGTCCCAGAAGCTGGCGCTTGCAGAGTCTACCGGTCTGGATCAGAAGCAGATAAACAACTGGTTCATCAATCAGAGGAAGCGCCACTGGAAACCTTCAGAAGAGATGCAGTTTGTGGTGATGGATGCAGCTCATCCGCATTACTACATGGACAGCGTCCTCAGCAATCCCTTTCCTATGGACTTCACACCTACACTCCTTTAACGGTGAAGACAGCAATCCGACATTACTAGTTTTGGCGTGCATCTTTTCTCGACCATCTGTAAGGTACTAAATGTTGTGTAGTTGCGGTATAACCCTGAGCCGCTAACGTGGGAACATCTATATCTCATCCTTGTATTGGATTTCCTCTTCTCGGTTTCTCGACCCTTGTATGGACCCTAAACTGATGGATCTAATGGTTGTTTGTCAATGTAATATTGTTTTATTTTGTTACTCCTTGTTTCTTAGGTGTGTTGGTCGCACATCCAGCCTCTCTGGTAATGGGCTTAGGATGCTTTGTCGTTGGAGTGGACTGCTCCATTAGAAGGGGACAATCTCCCTGACGGGGAGCTAGTACTTTGGCTGATGCAGCCTGCAGAGTGGTCTTTAGTACTTTTACAGCCTATGTTCATTGTTGACTGCGAGTATTAGAAAAACAGGATATACGAGCGTGTCGCTTTAGTACTGTTATCTGTTGTGATATACTAGTGTCGACTCTCGACTGTTCTGCTGCTGCTCTTCTATAGTTTGTTGATTTCGCCTGTTGTTTGTTTAAGTTCCAGTCCGTCGTCGGAGTTGATGGCACGGCCGAGCCCCATGTACGTAGTACGGCTCGACTGCTGTCCCCCAGTGTCATCCCGGCAAAACACAACCACAATACCCCTATTTATTCATCGAGTTTTCAATTCACCGCGGTAGCTTCGCTCATGATCGTTCAGCATATTAATGGCATGACATGGTTTAGTCAAAATTGGCAAACCTGAAATGAACCGATCGAATAAGTAAGAGAAAAATAAAACTCTGTGCTCGATCGCAAGTTAGCCTCTTTGGTATGTTGGTGTTCCTGTTGTGTGGTTCTCTGTTTAATCGTCCCCAATGCCGAGAGATGGAAACGTGATAAAAGCTCCAAAATATAATGGTCTGATTGATTTCTCTGAAGAATGCTGTTTAAAATGAAAGCTAGTTATAATTTTGGCTTCCAAATCTTGTAAAAATGATGAAAAAGATACTGATTAATGTAGCCTTGTCTCACTCGTGAGTCGTGAATGAGATAAAAAATGCTTCCATTATTGTTTTTCAAATAGAGATCTATTCTTTCAACTTATTAAATCACAACCTAGAAGATAAATAACGATACCGAGTCAACTGGTGTTGAAACCAACCGCAATCTTTCTTCTGTTAACTTTCCGGCGACATGCATTTGTGGAGAATGAACTTTCTTTCGATTGCTACCAAAGTCCCCAAGACAGACAAGTGGTTAAAAAGCTAAAACCAGTTTTGGCGACTTCCATTTGTAGAGTTCTGTTCTTTTACTTTTACGTTTATCGTTGAATTGTAGCGGTTGTGGCTTCACTATTTGGCTATGGTGATTGTCGGTGGTGACCATGCTTGGGCTGATGGCAACGAGCTTGCGTACTTGATCTGTTGATCGACGCCAACCAGGTTGGACCATGTTCTAGGGGTGGGGTCCGTCCTGCTCAAGCTCAACCAACCAACTTTACTTTATTCTTCCGAATCTGCAGCAGCAGCTCCTCATACATCTAGGTTTCTCTCTCTCTCTCCCCTTGTCGGAGTGGAGCTTTTCTTCGATTGATGGAACACAATGTTATTGATATGCTTAATATCGAAATCTTTTACTTTATTTTTTTCCCGTACAATGTCTTTCCGGCATAGATTTTCCTCTACTGGTTTTTTTCTATTATATTTTATGCTTAAAAGGAGAAATTTTACAGTATATATGATAATTTTGCTAAACAGTTCACTATTTTATTGCAATGTTTTAAAACTTAAACCATGAACCAAACCATTTTTATCTCCAGTTTGTGGGTCACCATTTTTTATTTTTTATTTGTGAAACAATATTAAAGATTGTGATTTGAAACTAAAAAATGTTTTTTTTTTTTGGAAAAGTACGTACAGGCCCAATGCAGATTTTTGAATTCCATTGCAGAGCTATAAACACACCAGTGCCGACCTGTGAATTGGCATCAATTCCGAGCTGGCACCTACCCCAACTGTACTTTGGGCCTAAAAATTTTGACCCTAGGCTGAACCGTCATTCTCCCTTTTTTTGGCAAAAATAGTAGAGCAAGACGTATTGGGACACATAGATCTTGAAAGTTACCCAAAAATTAAAAAAAAAAAAAAAAAGACTATCCCAAGACATTGGAGTGCAAAATTATGACCTTCAAAAGTTTGCATACACATTTAGTGTGCAATTCATGACTCGTCATTAGGTCAAATGATTCAACAATCCAACCGCTCAAGTCAAACAACTTTTTGACCTGATTAACAATTTTGATCAATTCCCAATCTTTATTATACCTGGAATCATGGCCAGGTGATATAATAAGGCCTTGTTCATTTGTCGTATTTAGCTAGGAGTAAGTTGGTCAATTTGCCCAATTTGTTGATAATCGAAGATTCTGAAGAGTATCATTTACCCAAATAACTAATACCCTCCTATAAGGTGGGTAAGCAATTTACTTGTGTGTTGATAACGCTCTCTCTTTATCCAGATAACTTATATCGCACAAGAACACTAAAACCTCATCAACCCGGCAAGTTTTACCTCGGAAACACTTGCTTGGATAAATGTACTTATTGCCTAGGTAAGTAAAAATGGGGCTTAAGAAATATTCAACAGGCCAAGTAAACAACGGTTTGAAAACATTGTTTTAATGTCATTTCGATAGGGTTGTATTATAAAAATAATGTTTTAAAATTATTATTGATGAGGGCAGATTTGGCCCTCCACTAACATCATGACACGTGGTTTCTCAGAACAGTTGGACGACACCTCGATACCTCGAAGGCGATGACTTGCCTTAGCCAAAATGATGAAATCCCAGCTGGCGACCTCATACACAACTCGGGCACCTCGGCAGGGCGGCTAGCAGCACCTCGTCTAGGGCCGACCTATGGTACCTTGTCGTTACCAGTCCAAGGGACCTCGATGTGAGGAGCGACCTTCACGAGGACTTGCTGACCTGACTGAGGTCTAGGTGGTGACCTACGACACGTGCTCGCTGACCTCCTCTGTGTGAATCCCATCACTCCCGGGTCTTCCGGAAGTTCGTTCCCTCATCGTATGTTTCAAAGGAAACCGAATAAGGCATGAAGCCTAGTCTACGTGCACCACTACCTCCGAGGACTTCGGACTAGTTAGCCACGTCTTCCTAGAGACCTCGGATGTGGTGTGTGAAGCCCATGCCAAACAATGCATATATAAATGTCTCATTACTAAACTCAGAGGGTATGCTCAATTTAGTTGTCACAACTCTCTTACTTTTAGCTCTCTTAAAAATATCCAATTCACTGACTTAAGCATCGAAGTGCCCACCCGAGTAAAGCAACCCGGGCACTTTGACACTATCTCTTTACAAGTCAACCCGACGAACTAGCCAACTCGGCATCCGAGCCACATTCCAGTAGGGAGCTGCCAGATCGCTCATCATCAATTAGCGCTGTCTATGGAAACCGCAACAAAAATCTAGGTTCTCACCTTGTAATTTTCACTTTCACCAACTCAATGGCATCCTCGAGTAACACCAATGTCAACAACGAAGAAGTACCAGTCACTAGGGGGCAAGAGCAATCTGCAATGAACCTTGAGATCCCCTCTATGACAATCGGACAGTTCATAGTGCCCCTAGCTCTTCTTGGAGTAGCAATAGGGCCGAACCCAGCGCTCCCATTACCCCAAGTAAACGCACCACTACCTCATGTGAACGCCCCTCTCCCTACGGTAGAGCCATATGGTTCCCACAAGGATTGATGCGTGGCAGTTCTATGTGCACGTGCAATATGTTCGAAGCATGAATCTCCAGAGGCACGCATGGGAGGAGAGGTTCGGAGCCTTCATGCCACCGCAGCCACCTCGGCATCCAACACCATTCCAGTGTCCATCGCCACCTCGGCGTCCAACGCCACTCTAGCGTTCGTTGCCACCTTGGCCCATCATGGCCCAGCAGCAGTAGTACGACCAACAGAATAATCAGCAAAATAGTTGTCAAAATGACCAACACTGTTGCCAACAAAATGATTAGCCCGAACAACTTCCAACAAACTAGGAGGTCACCCCCGCAGGTTGAGCCCTCCATTGTTCCCATGGGAGTTGACGGCCAACAAATTGTGGAGTCGCCATGCCGACTTCAACTCATTTTAAATTCGCACTTAAAAGCCAGGTTCTCAACTCATTTTAAATTCGCACTCAAACAGTAATAAGCCCGAACAAGCTTCATCAGCACTGTTCGCAAGGTCGCCTCTACAGGTCAAGCCCTTCATGGCTCCTGCGGGAGTCGGCGGCCAACGGACTCTGCAGTCGCCCTTGCAGGTTGAGCCTTTTAAGGTTCCCGTGCGAGTAGGCAACCTACAGTTAGTAGAGCCACCCCTATAGGCTGAGCCCCCTACAGCTTATCGTAGGAGAAGACGGCTAGCATTTCTGGGGGCTGATGCAGTGTAGTTGTGGTACCGATTCGCCATTCAAGCGCCAGCAGTGACATGTAATGCTATCACAAGAGGGGCAATACCACCTCACTTTTTAGCCAAGTGCCCCACGCCTGGAACATCGACAATTTAAAAAAGTACTACTTATAAGCTTGGGAGTCAAGCATCTACCACATCAAAAAATTACCAAGTACAAGTGACCACCCGCTTCGACGAACTGCTTAGGCCGCATGTTGGCTAGACATACATTAAAGAGTGGACGACGAATCACTCTAAGCCTAAGGGCCCTAGTGCCAAGCTGCTAACGACCTCGGCACCATTATGAATAAGACCCAATTGCTTCTAAGCATATGGATAGTTTAGGAACATCATATTTATGCCTTATCAGCACATAGGAAGTTCGGGTGACGTACCCTATCGTGCCTATTCGCCTCGGCTCACATTCACCTTGGGAGAACCTACACTTAGTAGATTTTTTGGGAAGAACCTCTAGAAAGTAAATTTGTACATAAAAAAAAAAGAAGGAAAGAGAAACGGAGGAAAGGAAAACTAGTTCACTCCACTAGGTAGATTACAACGGAATAACCCTCAAGCCAGCTCTCAAAGGAGTAGCCAAACTTCGCTCTTGAGGATGGCAAGACGAATTTCGTTGTTGAGGTATTAGGCCGAATTGCAGAACTCCTTGACGGTTGCATCCCTAGTAAGGTAGATGTCCTTGGGGTGCTTGCTTCACCTCTCCTCGAGTGGATGAGTGTGCTCCTGTGCCTTGACAATCAAGACGACGG